TATATCGAACCGTACCCAGGGTACCCTCCGATAGTACCCTGGGGGACATAGACCTTATGAGCCATATTATTAGATAGTACAACTACAAGGATACGTTCCGATATATCGAACCGTACCCAGGGTACCCTCCGATAGTACCCTGGGGGACATAGACCTTATGAGCCATATTATTAGATAGTACAACTACAAGGATACGTTCCGATATATCGAACCGTACCCAGGGTACCCTCCGATAGTACCCTGGGGGACATAGACCTTATGAGCCATATTATTAGATAGTACAACTACAAGGATACGTTCCGATATATCGAACCGTACCCAGGGTACCCTCCGATAGTACCCTGGGGGACATAGACCCTATGAGCCATATTATTAGATAGTACAACTACAAGGATACGTTCCGATATATCGAACCGTACCCAGGGTACCCTCCGATAGTACCCTGGGGGACATAGACCCTCTCAGCATTAATTGGCATTGGCAATGGCATTGTCACAATAATTTGGTGTGCGGTCACCCTAGGGCCGTGTACGTAGACTGCGTGACACCTAGCGACAAGTTTGAAGTTACATTCTCGTTTCTCGAATCTCACTACATTTGGGACCCCTGTATTATAGTTCGCATAAGTGCTAACCTAATTCAAGGTGTAAAATATAACCTATACTATAGGATCGGACCCCGTGACCCGTTTATCACCTTCGCTGCTTAGGTAAACAAAAACTATCACGATAGACTACTGACACAGCTGTCACTGTCCTGACTAGGTACTAAGCTGGTATCCAAAAACTATCATGATAGTTCCGAAGTTATATTGACCTCTATTGGCATTCCTTCTTGCCTGTTTGTAGCATATGCGTTTGCAGCACTCATTCGAGCGTGATCATGCATTGATTTTGACATGTAACTTCTTTGAAGGATTCCTTTAAGTTTAAGTTTACTGTTTAGCTTCTTTGTTTTTGTCATCCCATAGTCGAATTCTCTTCCTTCCTCTTTGGTTAATTGCAAAATTGTAGCTTTTGATATGACTATTTGATCAACTTTGACTCTCCGTCTACAATATATATAGTCCCATTGATCCCGAAGACTAATCTTTATATGACTATGAGGTTGTGAGGATTAGATCATTAGAACAAAAATGCGCAGCCCATACACAGCACCCAAAGTGACTGTTTCCATTGATTTAGAATTACTTCTAATTACTTTCTAACTATATTCTACTATTGTAAATTTATGCTGTTTCAACTCCTTCATGTTGTAATTTACTACTTTCTGGTGGAACCTTTGACTGTGTGGAATTGTAATTTGTATTGTTCGTTTCTTGAATTGCAATAACTACTACTAGGTATATTCATTTTTATGAAGTATAATATTGGTTCTACTTTGTGATTTTATCAGTGAGTGTTGTACTTAATTGGTTGTAGGCAGTGCAGTATGCCTCGGTGCCACATCTTCGCCCATTGACCCTGCACATGATTTAGTGGAACCTAGGTCCACCTAAGTTTTCGGCCATGGATGCAGATGTTATGGTTGAGATAGAGGAAGTGAAAGCACTGCTGGACACAAATACTGCTGGTAAAGTGGAAATGAGAGAAATTGTAATATTTTGGCTGCTGTAATGGTAAAGGCAATGCTAACCAGGCGTTAGGGTTTTGTAAACTCATCTGGATTTATGCCCTATTGAAATAAATGCTTGCAAAGTTCATTTTGTGGCTTGCATTGTTGTTATTGTTACTGGTTATAGTGTGATAATCTTGACAATTTTCAACATGTTGTAATTAATATATGAACTGTTTTGCAGCTGAAAATGTGAAGTGTTCAGATATCATTGAACGGGTGGAAGCAGTAAGAAAAATAAAACATGATAATGCTGTTAGAAATATGAGGGCAGGTCTCAATCAGCTGTGGATGGTAGGTACACCTGCTATGTATCCTGTCAACCCAAGAATTTTCATCTTCTATTAACCCTAGTGATACTATGGTATACAGAAATTCTCTCTTGATCTGTTCTTGCGCTTCTGTCGCTTGCGCTCCTTTAAAATGTATAATACCTATTACTAAAATAATATACCATCTTTTTTATGAAGAGCTATACAGCTATAAAACACTATATAAAAAATTAGAGAGCTGTTTTTGATTAAATTTCCTATGAGAATAATGAGCGATTTTTGGGTTTAGGAGTTTGCATCTGTAGTGGATTCCCAGTGCAAGCAGCTATCGTCACGACTAATGGACAACCTTGGCCATGTCCAGCAGCTGTCAAGTGGTTTACAAGAGGAAAAGGTGACAATAATATGTATATATGTATTTATATATATTATAGATGATATGTCATTGTTGACTGTTTAATTGTTGACTTTTGGAGATGCACACATCACTGAAAAATAGCACTGCTAGTCTATATATAACATTTCTGTTTGTGGTTTGTTTCTAGTCTTGGAATCGTAATCAATTAGAACATGTTTGGGAGGAGATAGCTGCTGAATTCACAGAGAGAAGGAAGTGGGTGGATAACCTTGATGAGGCTCTCACTGCTATGGAATCCCACCATACGACTCGGGTACATTCACATGAACGATCGCGACATATCTGTACTGCACCTATTACAAAAGTTTTTACTAAAAACCACGAAATTGATTTCATTTGGTAATGTTCCTGGTCTTTTTATCTTGAGGTAAGAGCAATTCTGAAGACAAGCTACAGTGAGCTACATGTTATTTCACACCTGATGCCCAACCAACTACACTGGTTCATGGATAGAGAGGCTCAGGTAGGCATCTATACACGTACATGTATATCATACGTATGTGTCTCTGTAAGTAATATTTCATTATTTTATAGCATCCTAGTGCACGGTGGCTTATGCAAGTACTGGGTTAGACAGGGCCATGGTTACACTTGCCATATTTTGCACCTCAATGAATGCACATTTATTCTAAAAAAATGTCTCCAAAAATCACCTTGCATCGGATAAGCTGACGCTCGGTGTAGTGGACATTATTATACGTAAGATTTTTTAGCTGTGGTATGGAATATTATACACCTCAACAGAATAGTCTGCTTTAAACACTAACTAGTGCTGATAGTGGGGATTGTGAAATGTGGGAAGTTTGACGTGTTAAATATTTTTTAAACAATTATGGCGAGAATATACATAGGATTGTGAGTCCTATTATGCAGTCACACATTTTTTTAGCTTATTACCTTCCAAATTTGGGTAGCATCTAATGCAACGAAGCATCTTGTACATTTTTAGCATTCCTTCCAAATTTTGGTTGCTTCTAATGCAACGAAGCATCTTATACATCTTTAGCTTCCCTTCCAAATTTTGGTTGCATCTAATGCATTGGAGCATCTTATACATCTTTAGCTTCCCTTCCAAGTTTTGGTTGCATCTAATGCATCGGAGCATCTTATACATCTTTAGCTTCCCTTCCAAGTTTTCGTTGCATCTAATGCATCGGAGCATCTTATACATCTTTAGCTTGCCTTCCAAATTTTGGTTGCATCTAATGCAACAAAGCATCTTACAAGCCACTTAATATGGCATCATGTTGCTTGCTGCCCCGTTAGACCGCGAACACACAGCTGCTGCGCCAGCGACGCACATTCGCCGATCTGAACCTGATGCTGGTGACAAGTGAAGCTGAGCTGGAGAGGAGCGATCACAATTCATGGAAGCTGGCGCTGGAACGCTGGCAGGCACAGGAGATTCAGGATGTGGTGCAGGTGTTCAGGTGAGTCATAAATACTTATTACAAAAGAATGTATTAGTATAAAACCGAATAGAGTTCTCATAAGTTCATCATACATCCGGTCAATATTGTATGCTCTTGCGATGTGATATAAAACAAAAACAGGTGACTGGGGTAGAATATACTCTCATAACAGCTGCCTATGAAGAATACTTAAACTCCTGGTTATAATAATCCGTAACCCTAACCTTACTGCAACCCGAACCATATAGTTCCTAACCCTAAAACTAATCAAACTCTAAGCTATAACTGTTGGTAACGAGTATGAAATATGCCCGTAAGGCAGTTTACACGCCATCTGGTGTACGAATGCTCATTTATTACTCATTGCAGCCAGTTTATGCAGACGGATGATGTGACCAAGCCGGCAGCCGTCACGGACGCCTTGCTGGACATGGCCATGGAACTGACCGCTCTGGCAGACAGGAGGCGAGAGGTGGTTCAGGCTATTGGTCAGCTACAACCGCCGGCCGCCTGTCAAATGCACGCGGTGCAGCTCTGCGATACTCTCAAGGACATTTCAGATGACTTTCAGCTGGCTGTGCAGAGGTTGGTTTTCAGCTAGGAATTAATATTCTTTTTTAGGAAGAAGTCTACACTGAGAGAATACACTCATGAGAATGTGTGCTTACGTCACATGAAATGACTCTGTTGTGAGAGTTTAATCGCTTTATGCTTTGAAAAAAAAGTTTCTTTTGCCCGCTTATCCTCTCATGACTTCAACGTATTTTGATTGTTCGAATCTCTTTTCAACAACTCTGTTCACTCTAAGAAACTCCTTGGAATTTAAAATAACTAAAGGAGTTTTCAGTTTTAACTATTCTACCCCTTCACCAATGCAATCTAGGTCTAAAACAAAATAGTAGAATTGTAGGGGCACACGTTTCTATTCGAGGCCGGTGTGTGAAGTTTTCCTCTTTCTTTTACAGGAATCTAGAGACGCTACACGGGATATACGAAGCCGTGTGTAAGAGCTGCCTTGATCGAGTGGACAGACTGCTTCATGACCTCATAAGCTGTGGGTGCTGCACCGATACAGAGGCCAAACTCCTTGTCAAAGAACAGGTGAGAAAGACTTTTTACCTGTGTAACAATAGAAAATGCTCGTGAATGCTCGTGCTGATAATGTCATATACAGTTACACAGAAAATAGGTAAATTGTATTTTGGCATTACATGACAAACAAACTACAACACCAATAACACGCCTGACAGACAATCATCACCAACTTCTATACTCCTTGTTGATACGAGTTTAGAGCTTATTAAATCTACACACAAGAAGCCCACAGCTCACCCAGTCACAGTGTTCCAAGCTAAGGGTAATCCATCCAATGTAGGATAACAAATACCAATGAAAAGAAATGTCGCAGCAGAATATATTGTCTAGATCCAACCAGCAGGGTCTGGATCCTTAGATATATGGACCTTAATCTCCAGATTTATTTTCAGCACTTTAACTCTTTCATCTAACCAGCAGACCAGCTAACTAGCTAGTGTGTGCTAACATCCCAAGCATCATGCTGAATAGCACCTAGAATATTGCGAAGTTAGAATCTTATAGAATAGAGTCTCTCTTAGAATAGAATAGAATAGAATAGGCTAGACTCTAGAGCTATGTCTTAGAATAGAGTACAGTGTAGCCCCATTATAACGCGATGGTTGGGGTCCATAAAATGTCATCGCGAAAAAGGCGGGGTCGCACTAAATCGGGGTTATATATATGTAGCTATATAAGGGCTAAAAAAAGGGGTGCAATGACTCATCGCGTTATATCCGAATTCGCATTAAATCGGGGCTCGTAAAATTGGTTCTAGGACAAATACCCCCGGTCAATCACCCCCCGGACAATTACCCCCGGACAATTACCTCCCGG